CCAGGCATTTGGCAAATGTGGTAGCCACCACTGATCCCAGATGAGTGGCTCTGCTGGGCGGCTCAGGATATGGAGGGCTATCAAACCTCTGTTGGTGATCATGTGCCCTGACCACAGACTGGGGACGATCGACTTCGTGAACAGTCTGTGCAGGATCCTCTAAGGCGTCTGGAGCTTCACTGCATTGGTGTTGGAGCCCTTAAATTCCTCACTCTGGTGTCGTATTTCTCGTGGTTCACCAGGTGGTGAATGTACTCATGACTCGCATCAAACATCCTAAAAAACATCAAAGACATACACCATACGTGAAAAAATTCATCAATCTCAAATCATTGGGAAGAAAAGAATTCCCTCCACAACTTCTTTCCTCACCCTTTCTCTCTCTTCTTCTTCCATAACAGATTGGAGAGCAAGTCGCCATGCAAGGTTCTCAATAAGTTCAGCTTGTATCTCCTCGCTCGGGCCCAACATGTCAGAGCGGAAATGGGGAAAGTTTGGATCTACCACCAGAGGATACACTTGATCATGATTATCATGGGAGCTTTCTGTGACAACTTCTGTATGCTCCTCAACATCCTCATGATTGCCTTCTTCTTCCTCCTCCTCTACTTGTATGGCAGCATAAAGGTTGTCTTGAGAAAACTGTGAACAAGCTTTCTCAATGACTTCTGTGTGATTCTTTATGCTCCGAAGGGTATCCTCTGTTTCACGGGGAAATGAGAAGTCAGTTTGGGCAATGGCCTGGATATGAGGATCCATCTCGGGAAAGGATCTCTCAGGTACTCGAGCAATATGCTCCACGAGAAGCCTCAAGTGATAGTTTGGATCTGGCTGTGGAGTGTAGCATGGCTCTGCCGGATCGCCCGTGAAGGCTGTGGCTAACTCAAGATCTGATGGCCCTTCTTGTTGTGGGAGGAATTCTTCTTGATAAGGAGATTGTTCTTGAAATACCCAGGGGTTTGATTGTTCTTCGTAGTAGGGGGTTGGTAGTGAAACCCGACTCCATAGTCTTCTCCTCCTTGGTTGCTCCAGGAAGTCTCTGGGTAATACCACTCAGATGGTGGTAGATACCCCCACTGGTTGGAGAAACCATTAGGATCCATGATTCAGATCTGCACCAACAAAAACAAAAACAACCAAGTGAAAAGCAAGGGTGAAAAAAAATGATAAAGTAACAAACTTCTGCCTTTCCTAATAATCTAGAAAGTCCCCGGGAACGGCGCCAAAAACTTGACACGCTACGACACAACACCAAACTGCGACCATGTGTAATCGCAGAATGGGACTACAATATAGTGGCACAAGTAATAAATATCGAATCCACGGGTCTCTAGAGTTACTATTACTCAGCTTCAGTTCATTATCTAGCAAACTAGATTAAGGATTGATTTACTAAACTACTCTACTAACTACTCTACTAATTACAAGTTGGGAACTCACTTAGGTATGATTCCCAATAGCTCCTCAATTAGGTCCCAGTTGCAATTACCTTTGGTTGATCTATTGTTGATTAAACTGCGGAAGATCCTAAATTAGCTTGGAATCTCTTAAGCTGACCAAAGCCCTCTTAGACAGAATACCCGACAGGCGACTAGCCTTCACCGGAATAGACTGCTAAGGCGATTCACAAAGATCTCCACTACTGGAATGAATTCCAATACAGAGCAGTGAATTGATTGACTCTCGCACAACCAATTCACCACTATCAATCAAGGAAGTTCTCTTAACCTAATCAGATTCTATCTATCATAGGTTAAAGCAGAAATCAAGAGAATTTGATCAAGATTCAATTGACTCAATAAATCACGCCTCAATCGATTATAATAAAAAAAATATAGCATCCAAAACTTCATACAAGAAAGATCCTAACACATGGAACTAAGGTTCCTCAAAACCTAAGTGAAGGGAAGTTACTCCATAGAAAAGAGAGAGACTGCAGAAATCTGATCTTGATCTTCAATCTCCATCTCCAAGCTTGATTCTCGAGCTCCAATGGCGAAGAAATCCTCCAAAATATCTCCAATAATGTTCCCAAGTTGCTCTCTTTCTCTAGGGTTCATCCCTTGGGTGTTTGGGAACCAAAACCCAGCTCTCCCTTTCCTTTGGCTTGAATCTGCCTAAAAAACCCAATTCTGGGCGAAATACGGTCATAATTCTTCCATGCCCGTATTTTGCCCAAAACACGCGTTTTGGTTAAGTTTTGGCGCATCAAAGGCTCCTCTCGGCACTAAAAATAAGGGCATGGGAGGGACAAATGCGGTCGTATTTCTCCTGCCCGTATTTCTTCCTCCGCTCCTGTTTAATGCTTCGTTTCTTCCTCGTCTGGACTCCGAATCAGTCGCCGTTTGATCCCAGACGCTCGTAGTCTCGTCCTCTTTATTTTCATGATAAGCTTCCATGATTATTTTCCCATAATATGAGTTATAATTCCATTCTTCCTCAGGTCATGCTCGTGTTTCTTCTCCCGAATTGCCAAATGATCTCCGATTGACTTGAAACTTGCGCCTATGCTTCAATTTACATGCTAGGACCTGAAATGTGACAAATAAACATAACCTAGCGTAAAATAGTCCTAGAAAGTAAAAACTCAAGCCAAAATGATCAAGTAACGAGGGTTCAAACATGTGCAAATACGATGTTATCAGTGTCGTTGAAAGAAAGAATAGGACAATAATTGAAACAACTAGAACTATGCTTTTAGAGTATGGTTAACCTAAATTTCTCTAGGGAGAAGCTGTCTACTCTATCAATCGAGTGATAATTAGAAAACATTAAATAAGACTCTCTATGGGATTCTGAAACAAAAGACCCCCAATCTTGGATACTTTCATCCATTTTGGTGTAAGTGTTACATTTTAAATACCAAAGATCATTTGTATAAGTTTGATGCTAAATCTGAAAAAGCTATATTTCTTGGATATTCAACAAAAGGTCAAGCTTACAGAGTCTATAACTTGAAATCAAAGAGAGTTGAAGAATATGTGTTTGTTAAATTTGATAACTCTGGATGTCCTGAGAAAGTAAATGCAGAAAGTATGGAGTTCCTGTTTCCTGCTTCAAATGAAAACAATAACCAGGAAAAGGAACATGGTTCATCAGAAGCAATAAAAGAAGACAATTATGTATCAATCAAAGAGAAAACTACTCCTGCACATATACAAAGACGATATCCTCCATCTCAGATTATTGGAAATCGGAATGATGGAATTCACACTCGAGGTAAGTACCGACCAGGTCAGTATCCCTTTGTCTCTCTTCTAGAACCTAAGAATTACAAAGAGGCTTTGAATGATGATGAATGGTTGCGTGCTATGTAAGAAGAGCTTATGCAATTTGAAAGATTGCATGTCTGGGAACTAGTACCTAGACCAATTGATAGGCTGATTATAGGAACTAAGTGGGTATTTAGAAACAAAACATACGAGGATGGACACATAACTAAAAATAAGGCTATACTTGTAGCACAAGGTTACTCACAGGAAGAAGGAATCAACTTTGATGAAAATTTTGCACCTGTTGCCCGAATTGAATCTATTACACTTCTTTGTGCTTATGCATGCTATATGAAAATACCTCTGTTTTAAATGGATGTGTAAAGTGCGTTCTTATATGGAGAAATTAAGGAAGAAGTTTATGTTTGTCAACCCCCTGGATTTATTGATCACGAGTTTCCTAATCATGTTTACAAACTGTCAAAAGCACTATATGGTTTAAAGCAAGCTCCTAGAGCTTGGTTTGAAAAGCTGTCTGCTTTCTTGATAAGTGAGGGTTTTTTCTCAAGGGAATGTAGATAAAACACTGTTCATCAAAAGAGAAAACTCTAACACTCTAATAGTACAAGTGTATGTTGATGACATTGTGTTTGGATAAACTAGCCCTTCTATGTGCACTGAGTTCTCTGAATCTATGAAGGAAAAATTTGAGATGACCATGATTGGTGAACTTTCTCACTTCCTCGGCTTACAGATCAAGCAAACTAAATCAGGTATGTTCATTAGCCAAACTAATTACATTGAATCTATGATAAAGAAGTTTAATATGTAGTTTGTGAATGCTTTCGTAACCCCTATGACAAAAAATCTTAAACTAGACAAGGATGAAACTGGTATACCCTTTTGTGAGAAAAACTACAGAGGAATGATTGGATCTCTTCTGTATTTAACAACTAGTCATCCAGATATTCAGTATAGTGTAGGTTTTTGTGCAAGGTTTTAATCTAAACCTAAAGAAAGCCATTTCAAAGCTGTAAAACAAATTTTTAGGTATCTTAAGGGAACCACTGAAGTAGGAATATGGTATCCAATGACAGACTCATTTGAGTTAGTTGGATACAGTGATTCAGATGTTGGGGGGGAGTCTTATGATAGGAAAAGTTCAACAGGGACTATACAACTTTTAGGACCGGCTCTTGTGTCCCGGTTTAGCAAAAAACAAGGAGCAGTTGCTCTCTCTACTGTCGAAGCTGAGTACATGGCAGCTGGAAGATGCTGTGCTCAACTTATGTGGATGAAAGCCCAACTGGCTGATTATGGTTTTAAAGTACAAAATATCCCTGTATGTTGTGATAACTCAAGTGCAATTTGTATGGCAAAACATCCAATACAACATTCAAGAACAAAACACATAGAGATAAAATATCACTTTATAAGGGACCTAGTTCAAGCAGGACATGTATGTTTACACTTTGTGTCTACTGATTTTCAACTGGCCGACCTATTTACAAAACCCCTCTCTAGTGAACGTTTTCTTCAGTTATGTACTGAGTTAGGTTTAAAATCTCTTGAACAGATTAAAAATCTGAAAAGCTAAAAACCTTATTGGCTCTCCTTCTCTAGGAATTTTGCTTGTCTTGAACTGTGAAGTAAAGTTGCTTTACATTGCATGCTTGTCTTTTCCAAGAAACTTTATGCATGCCACTATTTACTCATCATTACTATGCCTCGCGCATCCTTTCATCTTGCTCCCTTATACTATATAAAACCTGTCCCGTTCTCATCTTCTCCTCACTTCTCACAAACACCAAAATACATGCCAACAAACTTCTCCATCATGAGCGATCACCTTTCCCGACCTTTTCGTATTGATGGTCTGGTTTATACCTTTATTGGGTATATGTTCCATGAGCCTGTGGTTATAAACAGTCATCGCCACCTCCAGCACTTTAACAACAGAAGGCTCCATCACATCACTCAACTCGACCCATACTAGTTCAACCTCTACAAATATGACATCATTTTCCTTATCAAAGAATTAGAATGGGATTTCCTTCTTCGTCAACCCCTCCATCCTGCCTGTCCTGGTCCGGTGAAATACTTCTACTCTAACCTTCGTTGTCAGGGTGTGAGTACTCGAAGCTTCACCACTGTTGTCTACGGTCATCTTCTGACCATTCCCGTGAAAGCTCCAAACGGGATACTTGGATTTACATCTCAAGTACTTGACATCACTCATCCATCCGAGTTTTGGAAGCAAGAGTTCAAGATCAACACTGAGTACGAAAAATTTTCAACATAACCAACTGGAGGATCTGATTTACCTATTCCAACAAGCTGGTTACCTCCTCGCTTAAGGATTTTCATCACTTCCTTACTCATGTTTTCTTTCCTCGATCCTTTAATCTTGATCGAGTTCTCCCCATGGACCTCTGGATAATCTCCAGTGCCACTGTTAGGCGTAAGCTTGACTACTCCTGCCTCCTGTTTTCACACATGCTCCATGCAGGAGATGAAAACTACCAGGGCCTTCTCCCTTTTGGTTCAATCATAACTCGACTGCTCATCAATTTGGGAGTAGACCTGTCAGAGTTTTGGAGTGTGTCATCAACAATGTATATAAGCGCACTAAATGTGCTTATGGTCCTTGATCTCCCCGCTGATATTCCTCCTCCTCCTCCCCCTCTCCCTTCTGCCTCCATTCTTGGCCTCGTCCTAAGCCTTCATCTTCCAAGAAGGCCAAGTCTGCTGGAGAGCCAAGCTACACTGGTGGTCTGGTATTTAATGTGTCCGAAGGCAACTCCTCGTTTGAAGATTCAGCTGCTTTTGCTCCTGCCTCTGCTTCCTAGCTGTCCCTTTTCTCTAAGGGAATGATCTCTGCTTGTTCATTTTATAAAATGCTCAAGTAATTTTGTAATGTTGTCCTATAGATTAGGAGTAGCATAAGTTTAGGGGGAATACATCCCTATTATGTTTACAGTTCCCTATGTTTTGGACTGGTTTGTTTTGCTTTGCTATCCTATAGAATAGGAGTAGCATATGTTTAGGGGGAACCTTCTTAAGTTCATTGTCCTCACTTACTTTGTAACCCTATATTTTAAGTTAATGCAATTTCCTTTTATTCGAGTGTTGTGGTCTGCTGTTTGTGTTTGTTCTTGTTTCAGAATTCTCAGACTTGTTGAACGAAGGGGGAAATTGTTGGCAAAAACGGCACAACTTCTTCTCAAAACGGCTACGCATTCTCTACCACATTATACGACGGTGTTTCGTTCTTCCAAGTCTCCAAGAAACAAACAAAGCAATCCAACTTTTCATCTTCATCGGGAAAAGCTTCTGCCTTAGCCTCTCTAAACTCTCTCGATATCTCCCTCGAGTACACTCCATCCTCCCTCGAGATCACTACAGAGTGGCCACCGCCTCTACAAGAGCTTCTGGAAAAGAGTCATCATGAGATCTTGGAGACTCTACCAAACGCTCATCTTCCTCGACTGTCTATAAATTAGGTATCTGTTCTCCATTGTAGAACTTGGCGATTTGCAGTGAGTGAACAATAGAGAGCTTTCCTTCTGCACTGGGTCCTTTGATTGCTTCAGTAGCTCTTTCATAGTGTTTGTATAACTGGGTGATTTGAGCTTGGGAAGTAGTCAGTCCATTACTGAGTGTTTAAAGGGCCAATTTGATTGGCTCGACTAGGGTTCTTGTTTGAAATATCTTATTTCAATTATCATCAATAAAAGGTTATTTCTTTATAAATTACTAGCTCCAGAAAATCAGTTGTAGAGTGAGAGTTTAAGTTTTCCAAAAATTGAGACCTTCCCATTCTGATTTAACAAGACTTTGTTGAATTGAAATTGAAACCTCGGTTTTGCGCAAGTTTGCAAACTCATTGTGTTTGGTGGATTCCAAACTTGGTGAGCTTGTGTATCGATTGAATATTCCCTTCAATCGTGGTCGATCAACTTCCCTTTTATACCATACGAGCTTTCCCTAGGTGTGGAATTGTCTGTTGGTTCCGTTTTATCCAATTTCGTATTAAGAACGCATTGTTCTTGATACGAGTTCAATCAAATATTCGGATTGATTGGCTGTTGCGTTACTTTGATCAAAAGCACACTCCCTAGTGCTTTATCAAGTGGTATCAGAGTCTGGTTCAAAACCAGAGGCGGAGGAGTTAGTCGAAGAAGAATTTCGTGCTAGAAGTTTGATTAAAAAGAGGGAAGTCGAGCCCTATTATTTGCAGTTGTTGTTGTTGTTTCTGTTTTGAGTTTGTAATTCAATGACGATAGTAGGAGATTGGCTATACGAGAGTTAGCCAGTTTACTGCTTTGTACTGGAATCTAATTCCAGTAGTGAATTTCTGTTCTTACTGCTTCAGCTTTCTATCCCGGTGAAGACTAGTCGTCTGCCAGGTAGTTAGACTGAGAGGGCTTGGTCAGCTTAAGAGATTCCAAGCTACTGCCGGATCTTCCGCAGTTTAATCAACAGTAAATCAACCCAGGGTAAATTGCAATTGAAACCTAACTAAAGAGCTAGGGGGATTCATTCCCGAGTGACTCTTTCCTGCTTAAGAAAACCGACTAATTTCCTGCTTTATTTCTGCTTTTAGTTTAAACAACAATCACTTACTCTAGTTGGCTAGATAACAGAGAATCACTGAGTAAGCAGTAGATCTAGAGCCCGGGTTGATAATATAACTTGCCTGTTACTGCATTCCCGGTCTGCGATTACACTTGGTCGCAGATTGGTGTTGTGTTTTGGCGTGTCAAGTTTTTGGCGCCGTTGCCGGGGACCCTCTAGGTTATTGGGGAAACGTGAGAATTTGTTACTCTAGCTTTTTATTTACTGCATTTTATCTCTTCCACCTGTGTGCCTTCACGGGTTGTTTCTGCTGATTGTGTGCAGGTAGTGCATGACCCGTAGCCAGTCGGGAGATCTACTACCACTAGACCAGGAGCTTGAACGAACCTGCAGAAACTTCAAGCGGGCTCTAAAGGCGCGACTGGCTGCGGAGGAGGCGCTATCACAGCTGCAGTTAGAGGAGGAAGAAGAAGAGATGGCTGAACCAGGGAACCATGATATGATCCCTGAGGAGCAAACCATGGGATCCTACTGGACCGCCAGAGCTGCGGACATGAGGTCACCCATTCAACATCCTCATGTCCCAGCCAACAATTTTGAGGTGAGCACCTCAGTAATCACCATGCTGCGCGGTTCAGTGGTGTTCCGTGGTAAGGAGGGGGAGTGCCCCCGATCACATCTCCGGCGATTCCACGAGCTCATTGATGGAATCAAGATCAATGGGGTACCCGCAGATGCCATCCAGCTGAGGTACTTCCCATTCACTCTGGAGGGGCAGGCCAAGGAGTGGCTAGACACTCGACCTCCAGGCTCCATCACCACGTTCGCCAACCTGGCGGACAAGTTCCTCACCCGCTACCATCCTCCGTCCAAGACGGCGGACTTGCAGAAGCAGATCACCCACTTCACCCAGGATGAAGATGAGACCATCCGGGATGCTTGGGAGAGATACAACAGTCTCTTCCTAAGATGTCCCAATCATGGTTTCAACGATGCTTTCAAGGTGGGAACCTTCTATCATGCCCTCTTCCCGGAGGACAAGCAGCTGATTGATTCTGTCTGTGGCGAGAACATGCTGACCAAAACACCGCCACAGCTGAATCAACTCTTTGAGGAGATGGCGGAGAACGGATACGATTGGGGCACTGCCAGGAGATCGAGACGAGCACCGGGACGGGGTGTGCATGCTGTAGGCATCCAGTCATCTGATTTGGTGCAGGTGGTATCGAAGCTGGTGTCAGCTATCGACCGTTCTGGTTTGATTGCAGGTACAGGCCAGCCGCAGGCGATGCTCTGCCAGTGGTGCGAGAGCACCCATCACATTGTGGAAGACTGCCAAGCGATGAAGGAATCGACAACACCCCAGGAGCAGGTGAACTTCATCAACAATGTTAGGCGCAACGACCCCTACAGTAACACCTACAATGAGGGGTGGCGCCAGCATCCTAACTTCTCCTGGGGTGGGGCAAATTCCAGACCACCAGTTCCCCAGGGACCACCGGGCTTCCAGAGGCCACCATATCAGCCCAGACAGGGGCAATTCCAGCAGCCACAGCAGTCTCTCTACCAGCCCATGCAGGGGCATGCTGCTCCATCACAGCCGCGACCTTTCCAGCAGCCAGGTGCAGCCCCTGCCGCCCCAGTGCAGAATGATCAGATGGCTGAACTGCGGGAATTGGTGGGTTCTCTCGCCAGTTCTAGTGCTCAAAAATTTAACACCATCGAGCAGTTCATGGAAAAGGCATCGGGTAAATTCCTGGCTCTTGAAGCTGGCCAGAGGAACACACAGGCTGTCTTGCAGGATATCCAGACCCAGCTGGGGAGTGTGGCTCAAGCAGTGGCACAAAGGGCTCCTGGTACTTTGCCCGGTCAGACCATTCCTCACCCTCAGAACCCGAATGAGCACTGCAATGCCATCATGACCAGGAGTGGCAAGATGACTGTTGATCCACCTGCTCGGGCGCAAGAGAGAGAGGCCCCTGCCTCGGCATCTCCAGCAGCTGAAGAAGAAGTAGAGAAGGAGGTTGAGGTGCCTGCACCTAAACCGCAACCAGTAGTGAAGGAGTATATCCCTAAACTCCCCTTCCCTACTCGGTTGCACAAAGACAGGCTGGAGGCAGAGTTCGAGAACTTCATGGCCATGCTTAGGAAGCTGAATGTTCAAGTGCCTTTCCTGGAGGCACTATCTCAAATGCCTAAGTATGCGAAGTTCCTGAAGGAGCTTCTTTCAAAGAAGCAGAAGCTGAGCGAGCTGGCCACTATGGAGCTCAGCGAGGAGTGCTCGGCCATTCTGCAGAACAAGCTTCCGCAGAAGCAGAAGGACCCAGGTAGTTTTACTATCCCGTGCTCTATAGAGAATTTGCATGTAGAGAGGTCCTTGGCGGATCTAGGTGCTAGTATAAATGTTATGCCATATAAGCTGTTTAAGAAACTAGGCCTAGGTGAACCCCGTGCTACTACGATGAGTCTTCAATTAGCTGACCGATCTGTAGTGCATCCTAGGGGCATAGTGGAAGACCTTCTGGTTAAGGTTGGCAAATTCAATTATCCCGTTGATTTTGTGATTTTGGACATAAATGAGGATGTGAATGTGCCATTGATACTAGGAAGGCCTTTCCTGGCCACCGCGAAGGCCCTCATAGATGTGCATGATGGGACCTTAGTTCTGAGAGATGGTGAGGAGCGAATAACATTTTCAATTTCTAATACACATCCTGCTTCCTCGCCTTTGCATGCTGTATCTCACCAGGAGCACGAGTCTGTCGTGTATCCTCCTGTGCTGCCTATTTTGCAGGATCCGCCTCCCATACCTTCGCCGCCACTCCCGTCCAATCCGTCATCGAAGGAACAAATCAGGGAGGAGTGGCGGCCGAAACAGCAGGCAGCTAAGCCTGCTCGGAAGAAGGCCGGAGACCACTATGAGCTGGTCCCGCCCCCACCTTGGCCATCCGAGTATTCACTCGCTTGCATCCTGCCGGATGGCCAAGTTGAATTGGCAAATGCTGGTGGCCACATTCGGCGGGTACATGGCCACCAGTTGAAGTTGTACCTCAAGAGCGAGGTGGATCCGCTCTTGAAGGCACCTGCTCCTTCACCTCACTGAGCATCCACTGACTGGCGTCCAGCTAAAAGACGGTAAAGAAGCGCTTGTGGGGAGGCAACCCCACCGAGGTTTGCATTTTCTTACCTTTTTCTTTTTGATTTTTTATGTTTTTTGAGTCTTGAGATGTTGTTCCAGAGTCGAATGTCGTTTTGGAGTGAAAACAGGTTGATTTTGGGGGTCCAGCAGCTCACACGGCCAAGAATTAAACTCACACGGCCGTGTGAAGGAGTGGCCAGGCCGTGTGAGCTCTCGACAATTTCCACACGGCCAAAAGTGCACTTGGCACGGCCGTGTGGATTAGCCTGGCCTGGCCGTGCGGCCGACACGGGCATGGCATTTGGTCGCACGGCCGTGTTGCGAAGTGCCCTGGCCGTGTCTGCTCTCGCAGAATATGGCACAGCCAAATGAGCAATTGGCACGACCGTGTGACATTCCTCGGCCAGACCGTGTCGGCCGACACGGGCAAAATTGCAAGCGACACGGCCGTGCGTGTCTGGCCGTGTGGCCGAGACACGACCTATTTATTCGGCCAGCACGGCCGGGTCGTCAGAAAAATTCAAAACACTCGCCGGAAACCTCTCCCCCTCGCCGGAAAACCGCGCCAAAACCCCACTTTTCGATTTTTTCGGCCATTTTGTGTCATCTTTTCACCAAACCAACAACAAACCCACCCTTCCTTCACCAAAATCGGCCTATCCCTAGATTTTGAGGAGGTTTGGCCGACATTTTTGACGTCGGAGGCGATTTCCGGCGAGAATCCGGCGAGGCTCCGACGAGCACTTCCGGGCACCTTTTTCGGCTTTTCGTCGCTTCCATCGCCTTCCCCTCATCATCCCCTACACCTCTACTTTAGTCTCCAGGTTTGATTTTGCCCTTAACTATGTTAATTGTGGAGAATTGGGTGTTAGGGTGCATGTTTAGAGAACCTCATTGAATCTTGTGATTTTTGTGCAATTGATTGAGGGGAATGCATGGATTGTGTTTGAATTGTGTTGGGCAAAGTCCCTCTTGATTGTTTGAGCCCTTGTGTGCAAGAATTGTGCCAATTTCATGCTTACCTTAATAGTGCACACAAGGTGTTCGATGAAATGCCTGTTTTCGTACCATGTTGTGGGAGTCGGTTGGGGCCCTTAATGATGTGCTTTGAGGGTGTATTTGGTATGGATGTGAACCTTAAGTTGCCTATTTTATCGTGAATGTGCACCCCCACTCAGATTATGCTTGATTTATCGAGTTTCTGACCCCCGAACTATGGATGAAACTATGGTTAGGCTGTTTTTCTGTCTTAAGTGTGGGGGTGTGATTAACATTTTTCTTGGCTGTTTTGGTTCCACTTTGGGCTGTTCTTTTGCAGGATCATGTCGAAGCCCAACCTCCGACATCAGTATGTTCAGGATTTGAGACGGGTGCCCCACCGGGATCGTTTTCAGAACGTCCTGGCCTGCAAGTTTGGGCAGCACCATTACTGGTCGAAGCGCGAGTTGGAAAAGCTCAACTGCTACGAGCACCTCGCCCCCGTTGTCACCAACAAATACTGGCGCCGCCTGCTCAGCATCCGCGCGACGGTTTACCATGAGCTCGTGCTTGAGTTCTGCACCACCTTCAGGCACGCAGCCACAGATGATTGGAAGGATGAAGCTGCAGTCCAGTTCCGACTCGGGGGTGAACCACGCTCTATGAGTTACGACGAGTTGGCGGACGCCCTGGGCCTCAACTTGGTAAATGACAGGAACTTCATCACAGAGGTCGCCGAGCCAGTAGGGGTGGACTTCGGGAGGCTGTACTACAGCCTCGCCCGGCCACGTCAGCTTCCCTTCAAGGCGGGCAAGACGAAGGCCACCACATTGCATGTGGAGAACCGTCTCCTCCATCACCTGCTGGCCAAGTCTTACACCCCAGCCTCAGACAGTGCCAGCGCCATCACCAAGAGATCTCTGTACTTCATTCAGCCGATGCGCCAGAGAGATCATCCCCTACACTTGGGCTCGGTGGTGGCGCGGACCTTCGAGAAGAGTGCGTCTGAGCTGAAGAAACTACACTGCACTCCTCTCATCACCTGCCTGGCAGAGTATTTCCAGATATCACGGAGCAGGGAGCGACCACTCCCTTTGGCCGGGCTACGCTCACCAAGATGCTCCTGCTTCGAGAAGACCGAGGAGTCACGTGGATCGAGGGGTTCCCTCCACCTCAGATTCCAGAGGCGGTCCAGCAGGAGGTTCCAGAGGGTGCAGCGGATGAGGAGGTCCCGCCCGAGGACGTGGATGACACTGCCGCCCGCCCCACCACCTTCGAGCACGGGGGTAGCAGTTCCAGTTTCCCGGGGCAGGATTACTTCACCTCCCAGTTTGAGCAGCTGCGTCTCCAGAACCAGCAGATCATCGACCATCAGCTGCAGTTCCAGCAGCAGTACGCGGCTCACCTGGCGGAGTACCACCAGAGGATGGCGGGTTACGACGAGAGATTGGACCAGCTCCAGACCCAGCAGGGTGTGACTCTCGCACACATCGAGCGCGAGAGGCGCCGTTCACGGCGTATGCAGGAGGTCCAGCAGCGTCTGCTCCAGCTGATACCGGGCGAGCAGCCAGTTTGGAGGACTCCCTGGGAGGACTCTCCACTTCCACCTCCCCCAGCGGATGGTGATGATGGTGCTGATGGTGGTGACGCTTTCATGAACGACATCGACTTCGACCTGGATAACCTCGGCGACGAGTAGGCTGTACTCGTTGCCCATCTCAGTGTGTTTTGTTTTTTGTTTTAGACTTCTGTGTGTTTGCTCCATGTGTGAGGAGCTTGAACTTATTGTCGGTTGTTTTTGTTTTCGGTTTTCTTTTGTGGATTGTTTTTGCTGTAGCCGTCTGGGCTAACACTTATCCCTAACGCACAGTGTGCTAGTGTGTTCTTGGTGTTCGATTCGTGCAGAACTGTTCATCTTCCCGTTTGCCTCTCGCTGACTGGTCCACTTCCAGTCCCCCAGCAGTTTCGATCCGGTAACATCGTTCCCCTTCTTTATCCCTCTGCTCCATTGAGGGCAATGTCGTGCTTAAGTGTGGGGGGGGGGGGGGGTGCTTTGTATCGGTTGGAATGTATATATGTGTGCTTGGAGCCTAGTCCACTTTCCAAATCTCGAGATTTGAGGGCTCCAAGTACTGCTGTTTGATCATATTGGCACTGTGTTTTGATTGATGAATTGAATGGTTTTCGGGTTGATGCATGACAGCTTGATGTGACTAGGACAACCTATGATGAGGACTAAGATGTGCAGTAGAGTTGTGTAGGGGTTCAATTTTCCAACTGTTTGCTTACCAACTGTGACTTGAATTGATTACTTGTTCTTGACAGTCTCTTATGCATCTAGTTCAGGGTATCAGAATGTGAGATAGAGCATATAGGTAGCCATGTGAGAATTGAGCCTGCTCGTTTCTTTCTTGTGCGATAGATCCCTCTTCCATGATGTGTAGCATTCACGTTGTCACTAGCTAGGATGATGGGGGCATAGGATTAGCCCACGACCAAATTTGACTGTCCTGATGTGTCATATCCCCTAGTCAGCCCCTTTGAGCCGTGTGTTATCCTTTCTTTTTGGTCTATAATGGAAAAAATCACCCCTGTTTACATCTTTTAGAAGGTTCCACAGAGTGGTTTTTACATATTCTCTGCTGTTTCTGCTAAATTGAATGTGAGTGTTGGAGGTAGTGCTTAAAAGTTGGGCAGATGTTTGAAATATATGCAGAAGTGGTGGCTCTCTTAAGAAATGAAAAGAAAATGAAAGAAAAACAAAGAAAAATTGAAAGCAAAGAGAGCCACTACCAAAAATCTGAATAATGCCCAGTAAGTAGTGTTTCTTAGCAGTCTGGCTGGGAAATACTGACATTTATACCTCCTTCGCTCTTGTGCTCTTGAGATATTGAGTAATGCAGAATAGCAGAAAGGAAATACCTGTTTGTTTGACTGTGATTGTTTGGGTTTGGAAATGTGGAACCTTGTGCTATGAATACTTCCACCACCTAAAAGGCCTTTTCCCCATGTCCAAGACCCTAGCCAGTCATTTGAACCTGTGTCTAAGACCTCCTGATTAGTTAGTGGTGACACCCATATGTGAACTCTAGCGTTTAGAGGCTGCCATCATGGTGAAGAGATGTTAGGGATTGAGAGAAATAGCATGCGCATTTTTCGCATCAAATTGTCCTGACCCCACTGGTCGAGAGTGAGTGATTCATTTTCATATTCTATATACTCCTGTACCCCGGTGAGGACCTAGATTGCTCGGTCTCTATTCTGATGTCTTGAGTTGGATGCATGAGTTGACTGTTTTGAGTAAGTGGTTGAGTCAAGTCTAGGTTGGTTGGTGAACAGAAAGGAGACTCTTCCTTTACTCGATTTTGCTGCACTCGAATGTCCTTTGTGGTGGTTGTCCAGGTTGCTAATGAAGTTGCTCATGTGTTGATGTTTGGAAACCAGTTCGATTCACGTGTTCTGTGCCTTTATGACTTGTCCCCAATGTTGATTGATTGAAATATGTAAGCTTACCTTGTGTCTGACTTGGTTTGCTTGGGGACAAGCAAACGGTTAAGTGTGGGGGAGTTTGATAGACCGTTAATTACACATGTTTTTACCCCTGTTCTTACATCGTTTGAGATGTGATTTCTCGTGTTTTAGGCCGATTTCACGCTAGGTTGTGCTTGTTTGTGATATTTCAGGTCCTAGTACGTGAATGAAGGCTTGGGAGCGAGTTTGGGGTCGATTGGATGAAGATCGGAGGCGTGGCGAGGTACAAAGGAGGCCACACGGGCACACCCACAAATCACATGGCCGTGCAGCTCATATTTCTGGCCGTGTGTGTTTTGCCGAGAGCAAACACGGCCTGCCCTGACATTTCACACGGCCGTGTGACAAAGTGCTCTGGCCGTGTGACTTTTGCCGTGAGCAGACACAGGCAGATGGAAATCAAACACGGCCGTGCCATCCTGGCCGTGTGAGAAGCCTGAAGATCGAACTTAAGTGATACGGTGCGTTTTGACTCACACGGGCAACTGGGTATGCCACACGGCCGTGTGGCCCTGCCCGTGTGAGTCGGGATTTCCTGGTTTTAACCCAATTTCGGGCTGCAAGAGAGAGGATCGAATTCCTTGAGCAAAAACAGAGTTTTAGAGAGAGAAAGTGCGAAGAACTCACCCTAGAAGCCATCTTGGAGCTGGGTTTCATCAAATCAAGCTTGGAGATC